AACAGGAAGGGTTGAGGGGCATGGGCTAAATACTGGTAAATGGGACTAGATTAATTTAGGATATCTGGTCAGCCTGGATGAGTTGGACTAAAGGGTCTATTTCCATGCTGTAGAATTCTGTGACTCTATGGCAAAGGTTACACGATCACCAATAAACCAGCTGTAATTCCAGATTTTACTGAATTTCGTCATTCGCAATAGTGCAATTCAAACCCGTGCCCCAGAACATTAGCCTGGGTCTCTAGATATTCATCGAATGACAATACTACAAGGCTACTACCTCCCTATTCGGCAATTAATGCATCCACTGAAATTATTTAATCTCAGGATTTCACAAAGCAATACTTGGCAAAATCTGATTGAACGACCCTTTCCTTTATTACCTCAGCGTCAATAGGTCATTGAAGTACAAGTATATTTTACTAGGTATAAAAAGAATGAATGCACCTATTAGTGGTTACTTATTTAGTAACAGCCCAAGCAACGGTAGAAAATATGGATGTATCAAACTTAAAAATTTACTTCAGGCAGTCAAGATGTTAACATAATTCTCATTGTTTTCAACAGGTAGACTGGGAGATTCAAGTTTCCTTGTAGTAATGACTGTTCCTTTAGAGTGCCATTCTCAAACAATGATTGTTGAAACGAAATAAATCTTGCCTAAAAATTCTGATGTAAATGAATGAGCTGCATTTTCATGCCAATTCCTGGAGAAATTCAATGGATCTGACAGAGAAAAAGCAGAGTTAACATTTTGAGTCCTCTGATCCTCCTTCAGAACTGGAGAAGGGTTACTGGACTCGCAGTATTAAGTCTGCTTCCTTTCCACAGATGCTGCCAGACCTGTTGAGTTTCTCCAGCAACTTCTGTTTTTGCTTCAGACTTCTAGCAAAGTGCTTTGCTTTGTTTTATATTTATGCATTTAGATGGCATATTATTACAACACGACAGTTTAAAGTTCTTTACAGCTAATCAAGTACTTCTGAAATGTGAGATAGTAGGAACTGCAGATGCTGGAGAATCCGAGACAACAAGGTGCAGGGCTGGATGAACACAGCAGGCCAAGCAGCATCATAGGAGCAGAGAGGCTGACGTTTCGGGCCTAGACCCTTCATCAGAAAAGGGGGAGGGGAAGGGGGTTTTGAAATAAATAGGGAGAGAGTGGGAGGCGGATAGAAGAGGGATAGAGGAGAGGATAGGTGGAGAGGAAACAAACAGGTCGAAGAGGCGGGGATGGGGCCAGGAAAGGTGAGTGTAGGTAGGGAGTTAGGAAGGGGATAGGTCAGTCCAGGGAGGACGGACAGGTCAAGGGGGCGGGATGAGGTTGGTCGGTAGGAGATGGAGGTGCGGCTTGAGGTGGGAGGAGGGGATAGGTGGGAGGAAGAACAGGTTAGGGAGGCGGGGACGAGCTGGGCTGGTTTTGGGATGCGGTAGGGGGAGGGGAGATTTTGAAGCTTGTGAAATCCACATTGATACCATTGGGCTGCAGGGTTCCCAAGCGGAATATGAGTTGCTGTTCCTGCAACCTTCGGGTGGCATCGTTGTGGCACTGCAGGAGGCCCAGGATGGACATGTCGTCTGAGGAATGGGAGGGGGAGTTGAAATGGTTCGCGACTGGGAGGTGCAGTTGTTTGTTGCGAACCAAGCGTAGGTGTTCTGCAAAGCGGTCCCCGAGTCTTCGCTTGGTTTCCCCGATGTAGAGGAAGCCACACCAGGTACAGCGGATGCAGTATACCACATTGGCAGATGTGCAGGTGAACATCTGCTTGATGTGGAAAGTCTTCTTGGGGCCTGGGATGGGGGTGAGGGAGGAGGTATGGGGGCAGGTGTAGCACTTCCTGCGGTTGCAGGGAAAAGTGCCGGGTGTGGTGGAGCTGGAGGGGAGTGTGGAGCGGACAAGGGAGTCACGGAGAGAGTTGTCCCTCCGGAAAGCAGATAAAGGTGGGGAGGGAAAGATGTCTTTGGTGGTGGGGTCGGATTGCAGATGGCGGAAGTGTCGGAGGATGATGCGTTGGATCCGGAGGTTGGTGGGGTGGTACGTGAGGACGAGGGGGATTCTTTTTTGGTTTTTATTGCGTGGACGGGGTGTGAGGGATGAGGTGCGGGAGATGTGGGAGACACGGTTGAGGGCGTTCTCGACCACCGAGGAGGGGAAGTTACGGTCCTTGAAAAACGAGGACAACTGAGATGTACGGGAGTGGAATGCCTCATCCTGGGAGCAGATGCGGCGGAGGCGAAGGAATTGGGAATAGGGGATAGCATTTTTGCAGGAAGGTGGGTGGGAGGAGGAGTATTCTAGGTAGCTGTGGGAGTCGGTGGGCTTGAAATGAATATCGGTTTCGAGGTGGTTGCCCGATATGGAGACAGAGAGGTCCAGGAAGGGGAGAGAGGTGTTAGAGATGGTCCAGGTAAATTTAAGGTTGGGGTGGAAGGTGTT